ATAAGAAACGGGTACGACCACATGTCAATTAAAACATAAACGAAAAGCCTAAGCAAAGGAAGGTACCTGCAAAGTGGATAGAAATTATGGTAGTGGTGGTGGTGGTGGTGGTGGCATTTATCATCTTTGACTGCAACACGCCATATTTGCGACTCCACCTCTTTCTTTCCACCTTCTACCACCGATCGTGATACGGGTCTTGTTATATTTCACGAGACTTCACCTGTCTTACATCATCGCACACCTCAACCACTGCGTGACTGATGCGAACTTATTGGGCTGAAACTTTTGAGAACTTTTGAATCGCGTAGCTTGCGTTCCCCCCGAAGTAACGATAAATTCAATTGGGAGAGATTACAGGGTAGACAAAATAGTACAAAACATTCGTGACCAGGACAGTTTAAGCAATCTACCAAAGCAGTGTGCTAAGTTAAAGGGAAAACGCTTCGAAATGTATAGACCAAGTAGTACGCCAGAAAAACTGCCCACAATGATTCCCGCAAATGGTTGTGGATTATCACACAGCTATGTTTTTCCATGTTGAAAATTCTTTGTATCGTGGTAGAAACGAAAGACCTCGGAGCACTCAACAGGTACTTTAATTCAGTCAGGTTAACAGATTAAAGTCAGCTAACAAACCAGTCATCAGTTGATTGTATGTTCGAGGTGCGGCGTGGAGACTATGCAGTGAAAGCAAGCACTTCTGACACGTTAAACACGTCAGTAGTTTTTCGGAAAATGGACACTGAATAAAATCGAGGCGAGTAACACACTGGAGTGAGTAGCTGAAGGTGGATAAAGGTGGTCGGGAGGGGGAGTGGTTGGCTGGATCTCACGATTGCAGTAAATTAAATGGTTTTCACGAGGCTGTGCTAACTGAACCCACTAACGTTTACACAGAACTCGGTGAAACCTCTCGATAGCCACCTGACCCCGTCCCTCCTATATGCACACAGGAAAACGTGTGGGGCATTGAACTTGGTAATTGGACATGTACAGTTTTATAAACTGCTTTTATAATAATAAAAATAATAATAATAGCACTAGCATTAATAAATCTTTTGATCAGGCGACACAGAATAGACAGAAGAGAGTCGACGAATGACTTTAAATCCCAAAAGTTTTGTTTGTACGATTTGTTTTCTGAGCTGATCAGAAATGTGTTTTCGACTATGAGGTACCATTGTCCAGGGGAATTTACTCGAGCAAACGATTAGAAAACATTCAATTAATGGGAAAATGGACTGAATTGAACAAACATCTTCGAAATAACCGAATGATTCTGTCCTTCACAACCATCATAGATTGAAATAAGTTTTCCAGTATTGACATTCCATGCATCTGATTCCTTTAAACAACTTGATTAGAGCAAAAGAAGCATCATGATCGCAGGATGGATCGAATCCAACTATTTCGTGATAATCTCATCAGCTGTGTACATACATGCTGGGATGCAGCGAAATGATGCCGGGATCAAATCGTGCTCATTTGCCGTGTTGTGTTCTTTGCTCAGGCGTTCAAATTGTTGACGATGTTCCTCCGATAACGATTCTAAGTAATTAATCCTCGCTTCCGGAACTACTGGAATCTGGAACAATGCTTGCGCATCACAGCGCGTTCACATCACCTGTCAAGTCAAATCAGTTGATTACTTCCTACCGTATGTATGTATACATATGTGGTCCCACTGAGCCCAGTGTAAGTGACGAGCACAAATTGGTAAACAAGCCCTTTTTCAGTGATATACGAAAATACCTATATTCCTAAACACAGTCGAACAAACGAGACACTTTTTATGAGGGTAACAAAATCTAATAATGTATGAAAACTCAAACCAAATAAAATCCAGTCGCCATTTTGCATCTTTCTGTAAGATACGAAAGATCTACAAGGTGATCCGATATATAGTGCTCGAGGTATAGAATATGTATGCATTCAAAGTTTTTTCGGTATCCTAAATAACAGAAAGATCCAGTTTTATAGGGAACAGGTAGTTCCAGAATTCGTGAGTGCATATGTGGACTTGTAACTAAGGTGACCTGGTCGGTTGTTTGTGGATATTGGTTAGACGAGTGTGATAGCTCACAAGCTTGCCCAGTTCGGCCTGATAACATTATGTGTTCCACTGAGCATCGCAGTCCGGGTAGACGGATGTGAGCAAAGCAAATGATCACTGAGAACCCACCTGGCTGAACCAGATTGATCACTGTGGCACTAGTCTGGGGCAATTCTTTGATTGGGATATCCACTTCGTCCACGGACGATTGTAAGGCACAACCGAATTGGGCATTGGTATCTGGTGTGTTGACCAACGATAGATCGGACTCCATCTCACCCGAGGCATCATTGGACTTTGCGTTCATTTCGATGGATGGATCTTCCTTAGTCAGACTGGACACGGGAATCCATGAACCAGTTGCACGATCGGTTCGTTTGTACCATAAGAGCTGTTGACCTGCACTACCCGCTTTGGCTGTGCACACCAGTTTCAATGTCTCGCCAGATTTCGTCGAACTTTCGTCATCATAATTCAGTTTGATCTCTGTCAGTGAAGGAAAAGAATAAACCCTCGATCAGATGATCTCATATGAGAAGAGTACTGTAAAAAGAAGATCGTGAGTAATAGATGGTGTCGAACGTAACACAAATATTTCATCTCTATTTTATTACACAACTTAGTGTGATAGTCAGCAGATGGGTTGAATCCCATAGTCACGAGGACCTACTGTTCAGTGATGAAAACCGGCAACCTAAACCCCGGGACTTGGAGTGACGAACCACATATGGGCCCGTTAGGTTAGGTATGATATTGAACCGTACGACAGCAAAGCTGCCGTCTTACTGGATGCGCTTGTGCATTGAACGTATCCGTGGAATCAAATGTTTGTACCTTGAGTGTCAATAGTGTATGAAGTGTATGGGTTGAGAACCAAGGAGAAGAAACAAGCGGAGAAAAAATGTTAAAAGCAAATCGCCGCATACGGGAGAAATGTCTTTCCACTCTTGTTAGTGCCTTATGAGAATGCCAATCGGCAGGACATGGATACTGAATGAACGTAATAGTTGAAGCAACTATAATCTAATCAAGACGCGTTTTTATTTAACAGTAATGATCAAGAAGCAGTTATGAAATTATTATGCAATCCAAGCTTACATCACATATATATCTTGTTGGATTTGGTTAGGTCAAAACACTTATTTTGTGAATCGTGCAAGATTATGCTCCTATTTACGTTTTGAGCTTTCCGCTCACACAATAAAACAGGAGTTTAGATAAGCACCGTGCACACACTTTCACAAATCCATGCAATCTGCAACGATGAAACTTGCGCTTCAAAGTCAACTGCTCACATATATAACGTGTGATCTGCTGACAGCTGACAGAACCGTACACACTCCCCCTAGTGCAAGAAATTCGCTGGCGAAATCCGCGAACCTGTTAGTCCCCACATTGTTCAAAGAACTTGACGGACTAATTGTATGTGATAAAGCAGGCACCCAATTTTCGGCTAACAAGCTGTGTCATCGGTCAGAATGTGTATTCATCTGCACAAACAATATGCGGTCAGACCGACCGAACTCAGGTCCAGATCCTACACCGTTGTTGTCGCATAGACCGGATGCACAATTTATGGGTCTCGTTCCGTGTGTGTGTGTGTGTGTGCTGGCAAACAGATAATCGGGAAACGAGAGCTAGCGAGCAATCGCACGNCATTCGGTTGTGTTGTCCACGTCCGCCGCAGACATAATGATAATCGGGATCCTTGTAAGCCGTCATGTCATTCGGGCTGTGATTTGTTTGCCGGTGTGAATCGAGCGATGAAAGTTCTCAAGACTGCAGAAAAAAGAAGAGCTACTATATATACAGACAGTTGTTTATTATGTGTCGACAATCCGCGAAACCCTCGCTATCCAACCGTCTGATGTGTGCACGCATTCGGTTGTAGCACTCGGTTGACGCACCCGAAAATGTGACTAATTTGGACCGGGCTCGCCATGTTGTTGTTGCGAGAGTGAGTGGACGTGTGTGGGCGCGTATGCACGCACGCGCAAAGCATCGAATGGGTTCTAATCAGCAGGTGACTCCGGTGATTCAGCGGAAAGTCAATGAGATGGCATGATATTAGTAAGCCAACTGCTGTTTAAATTGACAAGACAAGATAATTGCATATTCTATACCTTTTTCAATTTAAGATGTCCGAGTATCAATTTAAGATGTCATGTTGCTATGTGGATAGTACCTTGCACAGTAGAGAGTGAAAATGTTCGATGGGACTCGTGTTTAACCAGATCCATGTGCGTCCTATCTGCATACTGATCTATGGCCCCCCAAAGATGCTCGTTTGTTTAGTCAAGTGAGAAATCGGGTCATCGTGTGAGAGACCCCACCAAACCCTAAAGCGCTCCTTTTTGTTTCGTATTCAAACAAGACTTCGTCGGTTTGCACATGGTGACATAGCTCTGACTGAATTGTGGTTTGCATTATCCAATCAGTGTGTGTGCGTGCAAACAAGCAGGTAAGATCATTGCTGGTGCATGTTCCTGTTGAGCGAGGGACAATACTTTTGGGGGCCATAGATCAGTATGCAAGTAGGATGCACATGGATCTGGGTAAACAGGGGTCCCATCAGACATTTTCATTCTGTACCGTGCAGGGTACTATCCACATAGCAACATGACATCTTAAATTGATACTCGGACATCTTAAATTCATATTGTGACATCTTAAATTGAAATTCGGACATCCTAAACTGAAAAAGGTATAGAGGAAGTTGCTATTCTTGTATGTTCATGTTCCGTCTGATGCGAGAGGAATCAAGTTTCAGTGAAACCACAGCTCAGGGCGGTACCAAACGGGTAACATTACATTGGTTTGTGATTCAAGACCCGGTGGGAACACCGCAGGAGTAGTAGTAGTGATTAACCCTGAAAATGCTGAAACCAGCTGTCCAGCGTCCTGTTCATTCATCACTTGGCAATTCATCTTATGTAGTGAATTTCTTCGTGTACAGAGAAAGTGAAGTGGCAGCTTAATTGCTAAGAAACAGTGGGCAGCTGTTTCGATCTGATTGGGTCTTATCAGCGGTGCTACCCAAATGAGAATCGAATCTGAGACCTCATAGGTAGAACGCAAGCATACTAACCATTTGATCACCGGGTCCACTGAGATCAGACTGTCTTTTTTGTCTCTACAAGACAGCACAATCTATAATTACGGGCATGATGCCTCGCTGAGCTGAGCACTGGCCTATAGGGTGATGACTCGGTTGGAAACATTTCGATTCCCGATTTAATGTCATATGAGAGTAGTGAAGGATATGATTTCGTTATATGGTGGAGTTCGTCATGAACGGAGCAAACAGCATTGCACGTTTTTGCAAAAACCAGCTCCTGCTCTCCTCAGGGTTTGCTCTGATTGTGCGTGGATCTCAACAATATATAATGCCCAGTTATTCTCAACAAACTGATTTGATTGCTTACATCCAAGTTGTTTGGTTATCTCCTGCAGAGCATCATCCGAGGCTCTAAGGCATGTCGAGTGATTTAGCGTACCGTTTAGTACATTTCAGTTGTTGTGGTTCTCATGCAGTTCTCACTGACTAATTACATCTTTCTATCTCAAGAAGTATGGCTGCAAAGCTATCGCAAGTTTTTGAAACTCCTCCAACAGACAACCATTAACATGTTCAAGGGACTGCAGTCTATGTATCTATGTGGCGCCGTGCATTCATTAGAGTGAGAGTTCACTCAGTACCACCGATTTCGAGGGCATTAGAATTTGGTGAATCAAGTATGGCATAATACTAACTAAAGTCATTTTCTACTGCGTACGCTGTTCCTCGGTACCCACCTAAAGATGACCTCTATTTCAGCTTATTGTGCAATTAGTCGAATGGAATGCCGAATCCCTTCAAACCACGGAAAAAGAATAAGTGAATGTGTAGTTCATATTCGACATTTGCACTTTGATTAGTCATCCTATTCATCTGTACTAACATTCTATAGGACAATAAAAGCATCCGTTTGTAAACATTAAGCAAAGTAATACTCGTCCGAATACAGGACCACTATGACTTATTCTGTTGCCAAAAAGCAGTTTTTGTCCTTCTGTTCGAGTGAGACTTAACTGAAAAAACCGTCAGATTATGATTTGTGTACCGCTATCCACAATCCCTTCATATGCCCCACACAATGTCATGTGCACGCCAGCACCCAAACACAGAAACCCAATTATCACACAAATACCTTTCTCGCCGGGTACTTTTCCCCCTCAATCCGAGATCAGTAAATTAAGAAGAGGTGCTGCTCATCGGATCCAACTGTGGATCTCATTAGAGAGAATTCATAGAGTGAACAACACTCATAATTGATACAACAGAAGCATTTTGGATTTTGATTCCACCTCACTATCAGCTCTACAAGCAGCTATACACAAAATGGGGCAATTTGTTACTAATAAATAAAACAAATATAAATAAATGCTTTTACACTTTTCTTTATCCGTTGAGCATATAAATGTACAATCAACTTTCCGGAACTGGGTCGCGGCCATACAAAAGCCGCCTGGGGAAATTACAGAAATGGAGAAGGTGGGCGGCGTTGGCGCGGGCTCAAAATCGAGACCGTCATGTGGCTATTTTGATGACCTTAAACCCTCGACCGCGGCCACTAATGTGATTTCAGGATATAAAAAGGGGTTTATCCATGTCCCCCGAAACGTGCATTCGAACTGCTTAGCCCAGTTGTATGCGCGTTCCATCAACCGGCACGTTCACACCATCGATTAAGTTTTGTTTTTGGGCGCGGGGGTGGGGGGATGGAGAACTAAGGTGGTGTTCCGTGTCGTCGCCACGTGAGGTCAAAGCGAGCAGAAAACTGTGCAATTGAATTTAGGCGTACTTCACTTTATCAACACTGTCATGAATTCTATCTGTTCATCAGTGAATATGACGGCTGATTACTGGAATCATTTGAACCATTTTCCCGGAAGATTTTGTTCGTCCTCAGTTGACCGTTGCTCTTCCCAGAACTGTTCCAAACGCCGGGTTCTGATGCGATCGGAGATCTATTTGATCACTTATGCGCGTCTACGCTTTTACATCCTAAGGATTTGTCATGCATATGTAACATGCTACAAGACCCATTCCGTTTCACACGGTACTTGTGTGTGTGTGTGTGTGGTGTATTGACCTGAATCGTCAGTGGGCATTCAGAATACAGTTTCGATAGTTCAAATACTGGTCAGTTGCCTTGTACTTCCTCTTACTAGATGGAGTACCAGTTGTATGCGCGTGGACTAGAAATTGGCCTCTACTCGTGACTGAAATTGGTACATATTATATGTACAGACAATTAGAAAAACACGTCTGAAGGTTTTCTGAAACTGAATACTCTGTGTCAAAACCCCCCTTAGACATCAAATGTTGATGGACTGTAAGTCGCATTCATTTAGCTCAGACAGTAGCACGCCCGGATGGGTCGTTGATCTCAGACATGAATTTAACCATTGAGTTCATGTGACGAACTTGACTGATAATGGGTAAAATCTGTGTGCTTTCCATAATGTGAAATGATGAGAACAGTAAGTAGGATCCTGTAATACCACTGGTGGAGTTTAGGCTATGTAGAGGTGCAGTCAACGTGGGTTCGCATCCCACTGGGGTTTGTGAACCGTTTGCTATAGGATTTCATGTAAAACCACGAAGATCAGTCACCAGTTTCCATTGTCTTAGACAGGAATATATTTAGTGGCTGTGTACTGCTAACTAATGTTACCACACAGAATAACATTGGTCCAATTTTGTAAAGAGAAAATCCATTTGGTGTTCACCTTGGACATGAACAATGATTGTGTATTAGTTACCCAATGAATGAAATACAGGAAGATTTATCAACGGTTTAGAACAGACTAATCAGTATTTCATTATTTCATTTTCTCAGATGTCACATTTAAAATATTTTATTACCAGAAATCCCTAGAATACACATTGAAATAGGAAATTTATAAAGTGGGTCCTCTTTGATAGGTAACAGTAGAAGTAGCAGTGCTATAAGGTTTCTTTTCCTATAACGATTTAGAAATTGTAGTTGAGAGGTTTTTTAATTGGCATACACAGACCTCAAACAAAGGAAAACACTGGTTTTGTTTCCATGCTATTGCGAAATAAATCTGAGGCATCTCACACAGCAAACACTAACCGGAAGAGAACCTAGACAAGGAATGGTACCCTTAAGTTCTCATTGCCTATACATTTTCTAGCATCTGTGATTCATAAAATGAGCTGAATCGATTTATCCTTTGGTCTTCAGTGGGTAAACATCTGTCCGATCCGATGTCAGACGCCTTTTGCAATTCGAATTGGTTGGATGTTCTGCAGTATTCTGTGTTACCTTTGTCCATATGAAAGTGATTTAATTTGAAGGTCCTGTTCTATGTTTGTCACGTAGATTGCTTCACGGACAACGGTCCTTTTGAGGTGTCTACTTGTTAAGCAATGGTTAAACAAAGTGAGCTCATTAACCAATCCATTCACATCGCAGAATAAATAGCATCTGCATAAAGCTTACTTGAAAAAACAGGACCGATTTTGCGATGTTTACCTGTTCTAAGATCTGCGTATTCGATATTCTTATGTCAAGTAAATCGTTAACTTCTTTGTTCTGCTGAAACTCATTGCTCGAGAAAATTGTATTTTACATTATCGTGTAAATGGAAAGTGAAAAACGGTCTGATTAGCTGTCCGGTGGCCTAGTGGGTAGCACCCTTGCATTCTGTGTGTGAGGTCCCGGATTCGATCCCCAGCTGACTCGATAGATTCACCCTGCTGATGAAACCCAACCAGATCGAAACGGCTGTCCAGTGCTTCGCAACGTTTCAGTTCACGCTTCATTTGCGATATGCACGACGAATTCGCCTTTGAAGTTATCGAGTATATATATTACAATAAGTAGCATATAAATGACTCAACAACGTTTCTTTCGAATCAAACTACCGGTTTTGCGGTTTATGCCGCTCGTCAGGGATGCTTAACGGGTGAACTTTTGTCACTTCATTCATAAACTGGAACCCAGAAAGTTTATGTTCGTCGCAATTATCTCATTTGCAACATCGGGTACATTTGTTTGGTCAGATTCTTCAGAACCACTCCATTTATGAAACAATACTATGACTCGATGTTTGTAGATGGGTTGCCTGATGAGCGGCAAGTATCGCGAAGCCGATCGTATGCTTCCAGGGAAATTCAGTTAAGTCATTTATATATAATGAAATATAAAATATTTACTAAAGACACTAAAGTTTCTTTTGTTGCGGGTAGTGGCATCTAACCCACTTACAAATATCGAATCACAATAATTGGACTTGTTCTGAAAGATCTGCTCAAACATATTTACTCGGGGCTGTTAGTAAGACAAATAAACACATATATACACTCAAACTGTATATTGTCAAACTCAACTATTATCTTAGCGAACTTACCTTCAGACATACGTAACCGGAATATACGATCGTTCTGAGTAACCGAATGACGGCAAATATAATCTCCGGTATGACGGAAACTTGCACTAGGAATGTGCAACACGGCAACCCGACCGCTATCCGAACTTTCCGAGGTCCAATACGGTCCATTATCGTCTCCTGTCTCCTGGGTCCCCAAGGGTTGCCCATGCGGACCTAACCAGGTCAGTTCATCATCCTGTTGAGACGTGCAACGCACTTGAACTGATTCGCCTGGGGTCGCGACTTTTGTGTCCATTTCCAGCTCAAGTTCTATACAGACAGAACGCAACACAGGGAGAATATTAGATGTAGTTGGTTTAATGCAATAAACCACGGGGACTGTACATTTTTTGAATTTTATTCTGTTTCAGAGTGAATCTTCTACAAGGATACACGAAGATGCTCTCATCAAACGACGAACAGGCTACGTCCTATCGGGCATGCGTAAGATAAAATAATTTTATACATAAATCATTTTGGGAGACAAAATGAGCTATGATCATGATGTTGATGATGATGAGGGTGATGATGATGATGATGATGATGATGATGATGATGATGATGATGATGATGATGATGATGATGATGATGTTAACTGGAATGCTGACGATGATCATGTAAATCGGGAGTTCATAACATGAAAGTCAAGAATATAGAATATGTGAATGCATTACTAATATGTCGCCACCATGTCCGTGCTTAGATTTGTTCCCGAATAGACTGTATTGTGTACACTTACTCAAATATTTTCGTTATGATGATCTCGAAAATCAGTCTTTGGCGGAGTCCTCATGCAGGCTGTTAATTCGGATTCGTGAAACCCGAAACATTTTCGTGTTTGGCGGTCAATCGTTTTCCACTTGAGTTTTGCAAAGGTACATTTCCCTGCTGTTACACTGTTCTCACGGTAAGTTCCCTGACCTGGCTGGGTAAGAAATGCTTCAAAGTTTCTCTTGGGTAACTTTTGATTAAAGTTTGCCCATCCGGCTTTTTTCTTATTGAATTCGCAACAGATGTATGTTGCATAAGGTTTCGTTAAAAGATACTGAAGGATTGTTCGTACACACCAATGTTTCCAAAAGTTGTTCTCACATTTTCGGTTTTTACAACCATCAACCATGCAATTTTGTGCGCCGGCTTGCCGGTTTACCATTTCACGACTGCCCATTTAAATGGAAGAAGAGAAGGAGGAATGGAATGGAATGGTGCAGGCGGAGTCAAATAGAAAATAGAGAATTCATATAGACTGGGGCTGCAAGGATAGTAAGTAGATGCATGAGCACCACTGTTTGCAACATTCAGTCATATTACTTAATCCGTGTAACCACAGACTACGGTGATCCTGGTGTCCCAATTCAGAAAATCGAACTCGGCTTATGTGAACAAGTCTCCAGGATAGGGCTTTCATACCCTCATACCAGATTTGAGTTTGACCATCCTTTGCTTCCTCCCAGAGTATCAACCATGTTCTCTTCAGCAATTAGATTGTGTGGAAACACTCCGATTGAGAACAATGATTTGACAATGCGTTGTATCTCAGTCTCACTCTGTTCGTGTGTGTGTGTGTGTGTGTGTGTGTGTGTGGATGAATAGTTCGTTGTTAGTCAACGTGACCTTTCTCAGCTTGGGCACAATAACACGCTTTGTTCCGACACCCAATGCAGCCAATGGCGATCGCCTCGACCAAAGTAATTATCCAAACACGGCCAGTTACCGATAGTCATTGGTATTGACAGAAAAAGACAAATCGGGAGCAAGCTCGTGGTGGATAACTTCTTCGGCCGGCTAATAATGTTGTATATATGCAGTACTCACATATGTAACAAATAATTTCATAGTGAATGCGTGTTAACAGGATGGTACGATAATATTTGTTAGCGCTGTGTAAATGGCGGGATGAACAATGGTGGTAGAATATCATATTGGTGTGCGGTCCAACTTCTAGTGTCCCCGTTTACCAGTTTCTTAGTTATTAAATCAATTTAGGAACTTGTTCAGACCGTGAACTTACACAGTGACCGACTCGTAATCACTCCCGAGTACACTGCCCAACTAATGGGCAGTCATGACCACCCATGAACAAATGAGGAAATCAATCGTTATTCGAATCAGCTTCAGACTTACCACTGACAATCAGTTTAAACTTGGGCACAACGACAGGCACGCCGACCGCGTGTTCAACAGATGGTTCGACAAAACAGCCATACGTGGTGGCCTGTCCCTGCTCCACCTTGTCAAACACGAGATTGACTGTTTGACGCCATTCGGATTGCTCGTTTGCCGGAGAAATAATTTCCATTCGACCACCGTCGGGCAGGGGTGAACCGTCCGCTCGTCTCCACTCCACTCGTTTCGGGTTGGAATCGGCCGGTCCGATTGCGGCCACACAACTGACTGAGACCTTTTCTCCCGGGGAGGCCACCTCCTCGTTCTCGGACACGGTGATTTCTACGGAGGAACAAATACAGTGTTATACTCTATCAAACTTTGTTAGGATTTACTATCTCTCTCACACATACGTATATACAATGTTTTGAAACACGAGACTACGGAGATATGATACATTTTAGAGTGATTGCAGAAAGACGGTGATGGGACTAATTATTGCTTGTTATAGGGTTCCATGAAGGTAAGCCTGACCAACCAGGGATCCTGCATTTTTCACTTTTTTATATTGGCATATACAGAATACAAACCGGCAAACACCAAGCCCGCAAGAGGAGTCAAGTGCTGAAACAAAGGAAACAGAGTGGTGTCCATTGTTCATTCGGTCCCCGAAATGGGATGGACCCCTACAACCGAACTGTAGATGTCAACTTTGAAATTGCCACTAGTGATAAATCAATTAAGTTATAACATCGGTTCACAAAAGGAAAGAAACCAAACGAGGAAATTCTTCGGTGCTGAATTGATAGACACACTGGACAGAGAACATAACAGTGCTGAATATCTAACATGATTGTTGTTCATACCGTTTTTAAACGTTCGTAAAACGAAGATCGCCATTCACATCACACTCATCAACTCATTGGTTAAATCCGAGTTTTCTGGGTGCGCAGTTGCATACGAACTGGCGGGTCCCCATATCGCAGATAGGGAAACGGTCATTCAACCGGTGTTTAGTCGAAAATAAAATGAGTTTCAGGTTCACTGAATGAACGACGGTGGACAAGCAGTGCAACGCAATAATGACTCTTTTAAGCTATCCACCAGCATGCCAAGGTTGATCCCATTCTCTCTGATAATATCACATAAAACATCCAGTTCGGCTCTAACGGAGGTACCTATCGTAAAACAGACGGGTTGCTATGGGATCACCTCTTGGAAATCTATTAGCTAATATATTTGTTGCCAAACTTTTTCTCCCGAGTTCACAACAGAAAGTGGTATTCGACAGGGTTGCCCTCTTTCTCCTTTTCTATTTAACTTTGTTATAGAACTGATTATGGAAACAGCCATATCCTCGTGCAAGGATAGCGGTATCGATTTACTTCCGGGTGGCAGACTGTCTGATCTAGAGTACGTCGTGCAGGAATAGCATCGATTTACTTCCAGGTGGCAGGCTGTCTGATCTGGAGTACGCAGACGACATTGTGCTACTAAGTGAAGATCCATATAAGTTGCAAGCATTTCTGGATAAGTTGAATGCCAGTGTAGCCACATTCGGTATGCGTTTTGCACCTTCAAACTATAAAATATTACTACAAGACTGGGTTGGTCTAGTACCCAGACTCACTATAACTGGGGAAGTAATGGAGCAGGTGGATAAGTTTTGTTATTTGGGCAGCTACATCTCACCCGGTGGAGTCATCACGGATGAAGTGTCAGCTCGCATACAGAAGGCTCGGTTGGCATTTGCTAACTTGAGACATCTGTGGTGCCGTCGCGACATCCGGCTGTCTGT